GGTTGCGGGAAAAAGGAGTGTTCGTCCAAGTCTGGTTACCTTGCTTACCGGTTTAAACGCAATGCTCTTTCATTTTATTTTTCGTAATAAATGAAAATATTTGAAAAGAAATATTAAATAAATAAATAAATAAATGAATAAATAAATAAATGAAGAGGCAAATAAATAAGTAGAAAAAAAGGACAAAGAAAGAGAAAGAGAGAGAGAGAGAGAGAGAGAGAGAGAGAGAGAGAGATATCCGTATTCATTAATCCTTTTTTTTTTGCAGAGAGATGTATAAATAAATATTTAAAAAAAAAAAGAATAAAAATAAATAAATAAGTAAATAAACAGTAAAAAAAAAAAAGGAAGAAATCTCTACTCACTTTTTCTTTTTTGGTAGATATATATATATATATATATATATATATATATATATAAAAAGAAAAATTGAGAAAATAAAATAAATAGAAAAAGAAAGAAGAAATGTAAAGAAAATAAATAAAAAAGAAATAAGAAGAGGAAAAAGGAATTTCTATCTTTTTTCTTTCTTTCTTTTTTGTAAGGAGAACAAAAATTACGAGAAAATAAATAAATAATTAAATAAGAAAAAAAAAAGAATACAAAAAAGAGAAAGGTATCTCTATCTTTTTTTCAAAGACAAACAACAAATAAAAAAAAAAAATATATATATATATATATATATATATATATATATATATACAGAGTGTCCAGAAATAATTATTCAAATTTTTCATTCCTAATCCCTTCTTATATCAAAATTAATTAATCGATTGAAATATATAATTAATTTCGTATTATTACGTAGTCCAAAAATCGTGTCAAAATAACTGAGAAAATTTTCATCGATTTAAAGAAAGAAAAATAAAGAAGATAAAAGAAAATATAAAGACACATGAAAATATATGACGCACATACACACACATACACACACACACACACGTACATACACATATCTACAAATATAATCGACGATTACATATCTATTATGAGATAAAAGAAAATTTCATTGTAGAAAATTCATTTCATCTAATTTTCTTCGAACACGAACTCGTTTAGTTTTCCCACCGCTCCCTCCCCCCTTTCCCCCACCCCCACCCCCATCCCTCTCATTTAGAACGTAATAAAGAAATAATAACATGAATAACGTACGTATGTACGTAATTATACGTCCATACGTAATAACTATTTTTAAATGATAACGGTATATTGAAAAAGAAGAATAATAAAGTAAAAGAAAATGAAAAAGAAAAAGAATGAGAGAGAACGAGAGATATAGAGAGAGAGAGAGAGAGAGAGAGAGAAAGCAGTGAGAAAAATCTCTGAAGCGAACAAAAATTGAATGAAAACAAGAAAACAATAGTACTTTTCTAACATAATCGTGCTACACGCTCGAGATGTATCGAAAGACAAATTTCCTCTTGTCTCTCTCTCTCTCTCTCTATCAATCTATCTATCTATCTTTCTCTATCTTTATCTTTCATATCACATCAAGAGCGTCAACACAAAGCGTTCATATATAGGTATGAAGCAGAATGTGTGAGAGAGAGAAAGAGAGAGAGAGAGAGAGAAAGAGAGAGAGAGAGAGAAAGAGAGAAAGAGAAAGAAAGAGAGAACAACATTCTCCCCACACTCTGTTTCCGCACTACGCTCGAGTAAGTGTGCATTCTGTCAGAAATGGTTGCACTAGTTAACACATTTCCATCTTTCTCTCTTCCTCCCTACCACCCTCCCTCCCTCCCTCCCTCCTTCTCTTTCTCTTTCTCTCTCTTTCTCTCTCTTTCTCTCTCTTTCTCTCTCTTTCTCTTTCATTTTCTTTCTCTTTCTCACTTGTTAAAACTATCGACGTATGTTCATCTTTACAACAAGAGCCTAACGTCTAACAGTACGTAGGGCTTTTGTATCATGTAGTCTTCTTCTTTTCGTATTTCCGTTTGGATCTCTTCGTTATTGTCTCGTTGTAAATAACTCTCTCACTTTCTCTCTCTCTCTCTCTCTCTCTCTCTTTCTTCTTTGGTATATTACGAATATCTCACTCTTTCTCTAGTGCACTGAAATTGCAAATGCATTCACTCTTAGATGGCACTCGTTCAATTTCCTTCGTGCAAGACAATAGACCATTAGAGAGAGAGAGAGAGAGAGAGAGAGAGAGAGAGAGAGAGAGAGAGAGAGAGACCACCGAGTTAGACGATGACTACTGGGGGATACATTTCTAAGTATATAAATGTAATATTTACAGGTATAAGTAGAATGTATGTATATATATATATATATATATATATATATATATATATGTTGGAGTATGTATTATAATAAAGAACAACTCTATTTGTTCATGGGTAACCCTCGATAATACACGTTAACCCTTTTATAGTCAACTTGAGTAAAATGTTGTGACGTACAAAAATGATCCTTCGAGTATTATCGTTTTATCCTTGATATCCTTTATGGTCGTCTAGTGGTAATGTGAGAATGGAAAGAATAGAAGTTAAGAGGATAA